TGATAAATTTAACTTTTAATGATAGTGTTTGCCCACAAACCAGAGTCCTCAGAGGTACAGTATGAGAATCTGGGGCTTGGGGAAACAGCTCATCTGTGCATGTGGGAAGTATAGGAGGAGATGCCACAAGGCTCCTGTTACTAGGAGACCTGCTACCCTTCTCCCCAACTATCCGCCTTCCAAAAAGGGGGGAAATGGATACCTCAGGGATTTGAATTAGATATAGCCTTAAAGAACAGGGAGGTTCATTCCTCCATATCTATCTCACTAACTGAGGTTCATGCTTAGGCCTTCCTTGCCTTTTCTCCCATCCTAAAGGATTCAGATCCAGAGTTGGTCAGAGCCTTCTGGTTGAAAATTCCACTTGGCATCTAGCAGGGACCCTGCAAAGATAAATGGGGATCCAGGTGGCCTGCAAGAGGATCCCTGGAGGTCACACCCCCTTTTTTGTCTACCATTTCCTAGGCACATAAAATCCCTTCTCTCCCTCTGTAGCAAAGGATGGAATTTCTCAGCAGGTGCTGGCTGTCTAACCCAGGTGTGAGCAGGGAAGGGTTATGAGAGCTGAGGCCTGTCTCCTCAGCTGTCATATCTTGTAGTGAGCTAGCTAGCCTCAATGTTCCATTTCAACATAATCTCCTGACCCTGGTTCATATGAAATCCTCTTCCTGGTAAAAAGCTGAGAACAGGCACCTTGGGTCACCTTTTGTCTCTCCCTACCACCTAATGCTGCTTTAAATCCTTTAACAAAGCAAGAAGCTTGCCTTCTGCTGGCATTTCTTATAGTCCTGCCTGGAATACACCTGACCAGATCATGCCCACTTTCATAGCCTCTGATTCTGCACATCTGCTAAAGCACCCAAGCCCTGGGGAATCCCACAGTCCCTCTCGCAGGGAAGACCCAATAGAATGCCTTAGCAGCTTTCTAGGCGACTGTTAGACCTCAGATTACTGGCTAAGATGGACAAGGAATCTTTTTCAAGAGACATTAAAAAATGGCATGTGATTTCTTTGTAAGATCTGTTCCCAGCATTGATTTAATGCCACATCCCCACCTCTCACTAGGAAGAATGGAACAGAACCTATAATTACAGTCTCACATTTCCTTATCTCCAGCCTTTTTGAACTTAATTCTTTAGGCCTCAATCATTAAATAGCTTCTGTATTCAGAACCCGAGTCTAGACCCTGGAGTAAAGGAAACAGGGTAGAGATGGATTGGAAGAGATGGTCAACCCCTCACTCATAAGGCCTTTGGTTAAGTCCTCTGTCCTCTCCTTTGTAAGACTCTCATGATCCTCTAGGAGACCCTCCTGTCCAGCTTCTGAACTCTACTTGTTTCTAGTCTTACTCCTCCGACCTAGCCTTCACTCTGACTACAGATGCCTTTCAGTAAAATCAAGGCTAGGCAGGAGAGGGATGAGATAATCCTAAAGAGACTGTCCTGGGCTTCAGGACAAAAGCACTAGGGTTCCCTGCCCACCTTGGATTTCACTCTACTTTCCTTCTTGAAACCATCACTCCCAAACCTGTGCATGCAAACCACTTGCACACCTCGTCCCCCAAGCTGATCCCTCTGCCTGGAGCGCCCCTCCCTTTAACTACTTGCCCCTAACTACTCAGCCTGTGAGGCTGGCCACCGTGATTAGAATCTTCCTCATACCAAAGCCTCTACCAGGTGCTGGGAATGCAACATGTGAGCAGAAACAGCCTAGTCCCTGTCCTTAGGGCACTCAGAGGAGACGGTGGCAGAATTTAAATGAGACCCAACAAACACTGCACCACCACTATGACAGCATGAAATAAAGGAGCCTCACCTACATCTGAGGGTCACAGAGCGCTTCCCAGATGTAGCAACCGGAGCTGAGACCTGAAGGAAGCTTAGATTTAACTAAGAAAAGGGGGGTTAGACACGGTGGGCCTTCCAGGCAGAAGAACAGTGTGTGTTCTGTGTGGGAGAGAACGGATGAGTTGGAGGAGCAAGGGAGGGCCAATGTAGTCACAGCAACAGAGCATGGGGCATGCCAGAGCCAACCACACTGAATCCGCAGAAGGACAGTAAAATGATGAAGGGAAACTGCCTGCTCAGGGCTGGCAGTCAGCAGGCCCTCTGGTCCTGGCCACACACCTTTCCCTCCATCCCTTACCCAGCACCTACAGAAGCCCTCACCTCAGCATTCAAGGGAGGACCTCTCTCACCTCTTGAATGCTGGCAGGAGGGGATGGAGGCCTCTGCTCCCGGAGATCACGGGCCTCTGGCAAGAAGCCTAAGGGGCTCTTTCCAGCTGTGTGGGTCCTGGGGGCTCCCTTCAGAAAAGGAATAGTGAGACAGACTTCCTTAGAAGAGCCTCTCCAATTTCTTCCGTGGGATTCGTACCTTGTGTGGAATGGAGTGGTGCCCGTCAGGACGGGAAAGATGGGGCAGCCCAGGGGCTCAGATGATAAGTGGGTGAGACAACACTAAACTCGGGGCCAGGACCAGTTTTGCCTATAGGGCGTGGGCAGCCTGGAGAAGTGAGAAGATGGCTTGGAGGAGAGCTGAATTTTCCCCAAAGGGCTGGTGAGAGCAGGCTTCCACCTCCCTGAAGTTGGAGAAAAGATGCCCTGGGTGAGAAGGAAGAGGGCTGGAGGCCCGGCCGAACCTGGCTAGAGTAGTTAGTATACTTCGTTGTGAAAGGCACAGCTGATTCTCAAACTATCCAGCAGCGGAGGGACATCACTCTATGTCCCTTTTTCCCAAAGGCCAGGCTCCCTTTGCTAACTGAGAGTGAACCTACAGATTCCTACTTGAGAGGAGTGAGGAGACCAGGTGGACCCTAACCGGGCCAGGCGAGGACCTGGATGCCCAGCAGGAAGCCACGGACGCCCTTGAGGGAAGTGGGCGTGGATGGGACTCAACTGCAGCTGGGGCTGGGCAGGAAAGGCTGCTCCACCACCACCACCCCCGCCCCCGCCGGAGCTACTGCCAGAGGTCCCCAGCGTCCCCAGGGTTGGGGCAAGGCCTCCTTCGGCTAAAGATTGTCTTTCAGTGGCATTATGGCCTGCTGGCCTACCCTCCAAGAAAGGATAGGCCAGGTGGTGGTTGGAGGAAAACTCTGAAGTGGAAAGCCTGAATCCTGCAGGGTCTCTGGTCAACAGGAAATTCCACTACATCCCATTTCTCTCTCTCCTCCACTGGCATCACTGGCTTAGTCCTGGTGGGCTCCAGGGCAAAACCTGAATTCCCTCCTTGGCCCCATAGGAGGCGGCGCTGCGAGAACGTCTCAAGAGTAGAGACAAGTGTGGGGAGGAAAGGCACCTTCAAGGGTCTCGGCCCAGAGGCAGGGCAAAGAGGACTTGGGAGGGGCTGGGCAGAGGTGGGCTGGGGAACCCGGGAGGGCAGGGCTTATCTGGGAGGCTTCTGGAAAAGAGCCTATGTTACAGAAAGGTCCCATCTTTGAGCCGGTGTGAAGGACCTGGATGGCTCCTTTTGAACCTAGTCTCCTGGTGGCCTACCTCAAGGACGCGGATTCCACAGGGGCACCCGGGGCAAAGTTCAAGAAACAGAGAGCCGAATGAGGTTTCTCGAGGGGAAAAAATTTAATAATGTGATTGAGTGATGGTGTCTTTGGAGAGTGGAGGTAGGAGGTGGAGGAGCCAGTGTTCTCGAGGGCAGAGAGGAGATGCTGGGCAACACATCCCACATTCCACACTGAGATGACAAAGAATCGCTAACCTCTCCACTGTGCTGAGCGCCCAGTAGGGCGCAGGCACGGCGGGAGTCATGGGCAGCGAGCTGGATACTGGGGTGAGTAAACGCAAGGGTCTACCACGACCACAGGAGAAACAAAACACGTGGGGGGGGGGGGTAGAGTTCAGTGTTGGAAAAGCGACAGGATAGCCAGGTGGGGGCGCCATGGAGGCAGGTGATGTACAAGCCTGGAAGCTTTAAAGGACAGTCGTTAGGCTATGGAGGAGCCCAGCGTGGCTGCGGAGGAAGGCAGGGGTCTGCAAGGGACCAGGAGAGTAGCTGCTCTCAAGGGATGGATTCTGGCCTTCTTCGCACACTTGAGTGGCCATAACCCACAGCAGCTTTGCCATTGCCCCTTGCCTTTTTTTCCCAAAGGCACGCGTTCTAGCTCGGCTTTCCAAGGTCCTTCCCCCAGACTGCGAGGCCCTCAGTCAACTGCCCCCCACCTCCCTCTCATTGTTTTGGTCCCCACGGCCTCCAACGCTCCAGCTCTGTACTTTTGCACTGACTCTTCCCTCCGATTGGAACATTATCCCCCCATAAATTCTCAGGGCTTTCTCCCACATCTTCCTGTCTTTGTTAAAATCTCCCCCTCGAGCTCTCTCCTCTCCATCCCATCGTATGTAAACTCAAAAAGCAACAAAGAAACAGGTACGTTTTATCTTGTTCACTGTATTCCCAAGACCTAAAATAGGGTCTGGTACCCAAGAGGTGCTCACTAAGTTGCGTGCGTTTACTCTGCCAGGCATTTTTCTGGGCGTTTTACCTATCTTAACCCATTTACTCTCCACACCATGTGAGGTAGGTACTATTATTCCCACTCTCATTTCACAATGAGAAAATAATACATGTTACAAACAGGAATGAAATACTTGGGCACGCCTGGACCCGCAAACCCCTCACCTTTCTGTGAGTGGTTTGGCCCGAGTACGGAGAAGTCAGAACCCGGAGGTCCTTCCTCTTGGGGCCTTTCAGTTTCTGCGAGAGCTCTCCGCGCTCTTGCCTAGGCGGGAGCGGGCTACTGTCCAGCAGCCCACAGACTGATTTTTCCTCCATCCCCGGTTTTCCGCTCCGTAACCCATTCCTGCCTTAGTCCTGGGTGGACTAAGTCTTTCCCGGCATGGAGTTCCTCAACCAAAACCATCAGAGCATCAATCTCTTGAGGGAAGAGTTGCCCCCGCCCCCCGCGCGCAAGGAAATGTTAGGGTTTAATAGTTTACCTGAGCACAGTTTATTTTTACAATTTAATACCGTATTTTTCACATTGCCCACCGTTACTCACAGTTGCGCCCACGAAATTACGCTCCCTCTCCGCTGCCCTCCAAGCCACCAAGCGGAAAGGGCCGGGTTCGCGCTGAGCCACGTAGGGATAGTGAAGACGCTAGGCGATCCGTACGGGAATGGGGCGTGCACTTTCTCTCTTCCGCTTCTTAGACCTCATGCCCCAGCCGTGAGGAGCCTTTTTTAAATATTCGGGCGTGTTGGTTTCGGAATGTATTTGTAAGGTGTTGCCGAATTATGTTGCGCGGCGGAGGAGACCATGAGGTCTTATTTTACGTCCCACCGTGCACTACACGGCGCCACCATCTTGAGCAGAAGTGAATTATAGGAGGGCGCCATTTTGCTCGGGAGGTCGGATATTTCCGGTTCCGGCGCGGAGCTGCTCCCTCTTTTTCTCCGCAGGGCCGCGGCGGGAACGTGTGTGTGTGGGTCGCCTCTCTGAGCTATCCAGTTCCATCCTTGTCGCTGCGGCGACACCCGCATCCGCCGCCGTCATGACTGAACAGATGACCCTTCGTGGCACCCTCAAGGGCCACAACGGCTGGGTGACCCAGATCGCTACCACTCCCCAGTTCCCGGACATGATACTGTCCGCCTCTCGAGGTACGGCTGAGGTGTCAGGTAGAGGGGTAGGGGGCGTTGCGCGCATCGCATGACTGGGCCTGTGGGCCGCGAGGTGGGGTGTGAGTTGATCCCTGCCTAGTTGTCAGCACGGCTAAACCCATGAGGCGTCCCCACTTGGCAGACTCCGAAACACGGATGGCTGCCGGGAGGGTTGCACGGTTGGGGGCTTTTTTAAAGTCTCTGGCCCCCTAACCCGCGTGTGTGGCTGTGTGCCTAGGAGCCTACGCGTCGGGCGGCGCGGTGATGAACCCAACATGCCATCTGAGTGCCCATGCTGAAACCCAGAGGCTGTTTCTGAGCTGCCGCCCGGCCGTCTACTCGGTGGGAAGTGGGGGGACTCCACGGAGAACCTCGTGACACCAGTCTCACGGCTAACCCGGGTCTGCCCATTCTGCTCTGGATTTTTCTTATTCACTGTGTACCTGGTTGCCTTTGGAGACTTCTTGTGCCTTGCGTTTGCGCCCACGCTATTTAAAAATGGATCATCTAAGGCTAGGATCGTGTCTGGCACTTAATAGGAAAGCTTGTTGAGTGGAACACGTTGCAGGGAAAGCATGCAGTCCTGTAGCGCCTAAAGTGACTTCTAATTCCAGCACTTCTTGCAGCCCTCAGTAGTCTCTGGAGGCCCACAGCTAGTCTTCCCACACCCAGGCTGCTGTGTTAATGCATTAGATTTCAGAAAATACTTAAAATAGACGTTGACTTGGTCTGAATTTCCAAAAGGGGCATCCATAACCTGGTAAAGTTCCACACACCTGAGTTAAATTCTCAGGGTACCACTTAGCTCGACTTGACTCTTGAATAGAGAGTCACTTGGATTTGGCTAGTAACTGCAGTCATAGCCTGTAGTTCCCCTACGCCCTAAACGCCCTTAATTAATCTTGTGAGCCCGTCAGTCACCTTGAGGCATTATCCAGTAGGTCAGAGGGTGGGCTGTGGGGTTTCTCACTGGGTTTTCTTTTGTTTTACCTGCCCTTAGACAAGACCATCATCATGTGGAAGCTGACCAGAGATGAGACCAACTACGGTATCCCACAGCGTGCTCTTCGGGGTCACTCCCACTTTGTTAGTGACGTGGTCATCTCCTCAGATGGCCAGTTTGCCCTCTCAGGCTCCTGGGATGGAACCCTTCGCCTCTGGGATCTCACAACGCAAGTAGCTGCTCTGGGGCACTGGGGGAAAGCTGGGTAGAAATGAGGTAGATAATATCTGGAAGTGGTTTCCCAGGGGTGATGGGTTCGTTGTGGGAACTGTAAGGCAGAGAATACCTGGAGAAGATAGTTGTGTGGCCACCCTCCTTGTTTTTAATGTTATACAGAATTGCTGAGGAGTGGTCTGGCCGAGCAGTTTTATCAGATATTGCACTTGGGAGTAGGCACAGTCTGACTGTGTTGTGTGCTGGTAGCTCAGTCTTTGGATGGTCAGGCATAACGGAGGATCTTGGTGATGAGAGGTGACATTGTCAGCCAATCCCCACATGGGAGTGAGGACATGTCCTGCAATTCTGAAGGGATTCTCCGGCATATTCTCGGCCAAGGGCCTGCTGTTATCAAAGCCATGTCCAGGGTTGTGTGAGTGATGCCGCTCCACTGGGAGAGGAACCAGGCCAGGGAAACAGTCTGACTGTGTAAGAATGTTTGCAAAGTCGGTCTAGAGAGTAACCACGTCCTTCCTTTCAGGGGCACCACCACGCGCCGATTTGTAGGCCATACCAAGGATGTGCTGAGTGTGGCCTTCTCTTCTGACAACCGGCAAATTGTCTCTGGCTCCCGAGATAAAACCATCAAGCTATGGAATACTCTGGGTGTATGCAAATATACTGTCCAGGTAAAGTGAAGGCACGTGTAGGGAGCACATGTTGAACACTTTCTCCCACCCTTCTTAATGGTGCCTTTATATGGTGATTTCAAGCCTCATCTGGAACCTAAAGGGGTTCTGTCAATCTTAAAGGTTTGGATTCTGAAGGTATGAATACAAGACTGTCAACATCCCACGTAACTGAGGGGAGGGGTGGGGGTCTACAGTTTCATGGGACAAGACAGTTTCTCCTTATTTCCTTTCCATCCTTTGCAGGATGAGAGCCACTCAGAGTGGGTGTCTTGCGTCCGCTTCTCGCCCAACAGCAGCAATCCCATTATTGTCTCCTGTGGCTGGGACAAGTTGGTCAAGGTGAGCTTGGACCCAGGGTGTAAGGCCTTTGCCAACCAGAATGTGTTCCCACTGCCTCCCAGTTGGTCACTCTGAAAGCTTTGTTCCTCAAGTGACCATTTTCTTCTTGATATTTGCTCATTACAGGCCATTAAATTTTGATATTTGGTCTGAAGTAGCTAATTGGGAACCCAGAGTCCCTTGTAAGATGGCAACACAGAAAGCTTTTTTTTTTTTTTTCCCCTCCCCAGTTTTAATCCTCATTGTCCTTACGTTGCCAAGACAGATTCTTTGACCTTTCTTTGTTACTGATAGAATGGAAATTGGCTATCCTATCCAGGAATACTTTTAAGCATGGTGCCGTGCCTTTTATTTGAGCTGAGCCCTCTTGACCCTGATGGATCCCCAGGCCAGGTTCTTCACCTATGACCCACAATTCCAGGTATGGAACTTGGCAAACTGTAAGCTGAAGACCAATCACATTGGCCACACAGGCTACCTGAACACTGTGACCGTCTCTCCAGATGGATCCCTCTGTGCTTCTGGAGGCAAGGTATTCAGAGGCCAGGAGTCTCCTACTCATTGGGGGACAGTGTCTTAGAATACCTAAGATAATGAGATAGCAATTTAAGAGTAAATGTTTCTGAAGAATATTCTGAAAATGACATAGATATGGTATGCTCTTTAAAAGAGATCCTTTTCTGCGAAGCTGGTTTCTTAAAGCTGCTGATGAGATTAGGATCCTGTGTTTTTGGAGCTTATAGTGATGCATTTTGAAGTTGTCAAAGACTCTTGATAGGGTTAGTGAGGTGTCATGTATTAAAGGAAAAGCATACAAAGATAAATGTTGATACTTGAGAAATTGGCTTTGGGGAGGTCAGGGTACTGTGATAAGCAGTTAAGAATTAAGGCAGAATCTCGAGACAAGGTGGGTGGGATTAACATCCGGAAGAAGTCACATTGCCCTCACTTGTGCCTTGTCCACCCAGGATGGCCAGGCCATGTTGTGGGACCTCAATGAAGGCAAGCACCTTTACACGCTAGATGGTGGGGACATCATCAATGCCCTGTGCTTCAGTCCCAACCGCTACTGGCTCTGTGCTGCTACGGGCCCTAGCATCAAGATCTGGGTGAGTGTGGGCTGCAGTTGAGGCCAGATACCTGGCTCTGCAAGCCCCGGCAATGTTATTTCCCAATGTGTCATCTGGCTCACTGGTGGGATTTGAACTTCCTGAACAACTGAACCATCACACTGCCAGTGGATACCTGAGAAGAATGAGTAAAACTACTTGGGATTGGGATTTGCAGTGGTGGTAGATCTTTGCCTACTGAAAAAGAAGGATGAGCAAGTGTAGCAATTTACTCAACCTCAGCACAATTGACACTTCGGGTAATCCATTGTTGGAAGAGGCAGTCTTGTGCACTTTAGGATGTGTAACAGCCTCCCAGGCCTCTACTTCCCACAAGATGCCTGTAGCAAACTAGTGGCAAACAAAAATGCCTCTCGGCATTGCCAACTGTCCCCAAGGGGGCAAAAAAATCATTCTCTTTTGAGAATTACTGAATTACAGATCAGAGAGGCTTTTGAGAGTGGCATTGAAGTGCTGAGTGTCCGGTTTTACCCCTTCCCCAGGACTTGGAAGGCAAAATCATTGTAGATGAACTGAAGCAAGAAGTTATCAGTACCAGCAGCAAGGCAGAGCCGCCTCAATGTACCTCTCTGGCCTGGTCTGCTGATGGCCAGGTAAGTGGGTCTGTCCTCAGGTGATTCAGCTTGTAACCTTTCTCACTTTCTGCTCGTCAGCCATTTATAAAACCAGTGTCTTTGACATAAGTAAAATGATGGCTTACTGTCATTTTACTGACACAGCATCAGTAGGAAGATTGTGGTCCATGGGGCAGTGGTTACCTGTCTTCAATTAAGACCTTGATAAACTTCACCAGTTTACAAACCTGTGCGTGCTTCCTGCCAGCTGTTGCTTCCTCTAGGAATACATAATCACCCGTGAATAGTAGTGGGTGATTAAAAAGAAGGGCCATCTTTGTGGCAGTAGCAGGACTGTAGAACTCCATGGTTCTGATTTAACCTGTCATTTCTCCCTTGCAGACTCTGTTTGCTGGCTACACAGACAACCTGGTGCGAGTGTGGCAGGTGACCATTGGCACCCGCTAAAAACATGGGAGAGCTTTAAAAATTAAACTGGTTTTCTTTTATAGTGAGTGTCTTCTCTGAAAACTTCCTGAAACTCATCAGGTTTGTGCAGTCTGCATCAGATTGGGGCTCTGGTTAAAAAGGTTTTGCTTTTCTTGTTTTAATCCTTTAAGGCAGTGCTCCCCGACCTTTTTGACAGCAGGGACTTGTTTCACAGAAGGCACTTTTTCCACGGACCAGGGTTTGGGGAGAGGTTGGTGGTTTGGGCGGTAATGTGAGCAATGGGGAGCAGCAGACCAAAGCTTCCTTGCTCGCCCGCCACTCACCAGAGGTTGGGGACCCCTGCTTTAAGGCAAGGCAACTCACCAGAAGAGCTGCTGTGTAATGAC